AGGAGACAGTTTATTGAATTAAATTATGACTTCATTATTTGGCACCATTTGAAAATGCGCCTTTATATTAATTTCTTAACTTGCTGATGAGAGAGCTATTCATAACCAGCTGCTGGGCTGGCTTTATAGATACAAAGGCTTCAAAGTTATTTCTCACTACATAGTTTTAGTTCTGGCAGAAAAGCCCACTTTAGGCATAAGCATTATTGTGATAAGATTTAAAGGACACCCAGAATCTATAAAAATAATTTTTTAAAATCTCAGCACCTTAATTATAACAAGTGCACTGATAATTTCAACAGATCTTGCCATTTCTACTTGCTCCAAATAGCTATAAAATTGCTGCACATGTAAGGGTGACAGACACAGTGAGTGTAATGAAGCATAAGTGCAGGGCTCTGTCTTTGTGCAGGGCTCTTCCTGGGCCCCAACCTCCAGAACCATGAGCTCAGTAAACTTTTACTCTGTAAAATTTCCAGTTTCAGGTAATCTGTGATAGCAGCAGACAACAGCCTAAGATCCTTAGTGCTATGCTCACCTGCTCACGTATGTTTACAAAATGTGCACGAATATTTTAAACATGATTAAAAAGGTCCTTCCATTTTATATTTATGTATGCATGTATGGGGAACTGAGCTCAGGCCCTCATGCTTGCCAGGCAGGTGCTATGCTGCTGAGCTATATTCCTGGCCCTTCCACTTTAGATAATAGTTCACTCTTGTCCCCTGTCCTTGGCTGGTATGACCTTGAGCATTTTGGGATTCATCATGGGGCAAGTTAAGATACATTGCTATGGTCCAAAAGTGTATATTCCCTCCAAATTATGGTAAAATCCTTACCCCAAGATGAGTATTAGGAGATGAGTTCTTCCTGAGGAAGAAATCCCTATTGTTTCCAAGCCACTAGAGTGTGTTGTTCTAGCAGCCTGAAAGGATTAGGACATGTATTTAATTTTGAATTAGTGGTCTCCAGTATCCAAAGTACTTTCAAATCATTGCCAGTAGTTGCAACACAGGCATGGCTTGCAGGAAAGAATATTCCTTTCTCCTGTTCTGCTGACTTTCCTGACATCTGGAAGTGAAACCATATATGGTCAGTGATCGGATGGATAACATTAAAAGGAGAATGATTCTGGTTGTTACTGTTACCCTACGCTAATCAATTTTCCCTCACTGTGACAAAACATCTGAGCTAATCAACTGTAGAAGGAGGAAAAGTTTATTTTGGAGGTTGGGTCCATGGTTGGTTGGTTCTGCTATTTTTAGGCTTTGGTAGGCAGCATATCACAGAGGTGGGCGTGTGGCAGGGCAGAGTTGCTCAGGCCGGGATGTGAAACAGAAGGGACTAGGCTCCCACAACTGCCTCCTAGTCTTCTTACTGACTGAAAGACACACCACCGCCACCATGCTTAGAGAACCACGGAGGACACTGAAGAGAGAACTTTTGACACGGGAGTATTTAAAGTGCGCGTGCGCACTCGCACACGCATGCACGCACGCACGCAGGCCGGCACACCCGCAGCTCCATCTCTTAAAGGTTTCTCCACCTTCCAACGGGGCCGTTCTCAGGCACAGCTTTAGCACTAGGGCTTTGGGGCACACTACTCCAGATCCAAGCCAAAACACTCCGCACAAACTGAACTCCCCTAGTGACAGATGTATGCTCAGGAAGGCAGCGCAGACAATTACAAAAGTTTAAAACAATTCCAGGAATCTGAACTATTTAGACCCATAATTCCTGTGTAGGAATAGCTTGTCTTATAGCTCAAACAGCGCACATTTGAAACAAATGCAGTTTTCTCACATTTGAAAGGCATTCTCAAATTTAAAAGGCAAACAACAATGACCCTGGGAGGCAAAGTAACTTTTGTGAAATGATCATTCAAAAACAAAGAACAACTTGGATTAACCATGTAAAAGAGAAGCGGGTAAAGTTGTCCTTTTTGTCTGTGGAAAATATTGCAAAGCTGTGTTTCATTGAGAAACGAAGATTGCAGAGTTTTGTCAGGTGGGTGGATAAGAAATGAAGATATGACTCCAAAGACAGCACAAAAAGTAGAAGAGATATTATATGCACGTCAGGGAATTTATGCAAATATTTTATGGACTTCGTAATTTTATGTAATTTTCAACCTTTAAAACTTAAAATTTTATGACTTTTTATTTTATTTATTTATTTTTATTTTTTGTTATACCAGGGATCAAACTCGGGACCTTGTGCTTGCCAGGCAGTGGTTTATGCCGCTGAGCTATCTCCCCAGCCCAACTCCTTATTTTTATAGTCTGCTCCTGGTGCTATAATAAAATACCTTAGATTGAAATTTATGCTGAACAAAAATTCTAATAATTCCAGAACCAGAATAGTTCTGGAGGATGGGAAGTCCATGAACAACTTGTCAGCACAAGGAGGGCTGCTCCTGGTTTCCAAGTAGTGCGTTCTTGCTGCAGGCTCTGGTGAGAAGTGGGCAAAGGGAGGGACAGAGCGCTGTCACATTGCAGAGGGGGAGGAAGGGGAAGCCAGGCTTATATAGACCTTAGCCCAGTCATGAGCAGGAGCTCTAAAACTTTCTAAAACTGCCACTCAGTGCCATCACCTTGGGGATTTGGCTCCAATGTAGGACTTCTGAAGAAACGTACACATTTAGATCACAGAAGCCTCCAGATGACGAATAGGGGCATCTCAGCTTACTATAGGGTCTCGAGACACTAAACAGAAATTGGCCTAAAGTGGAGTTAAATTAGTCATTAGTATGATAGCATAAATTTATGGTAGCATAAATTTAGAAAGATAGCCCAGTTAAATTGAAACACCTAGCACTGCTGCTGTGAAAAATGTGATCTGCTTTATATTGAATGTAAAATGGATATAATGTATTACTTGCTGTCTTTACTTGAATTTGTTTCCTTTTTTTTTTTTCTGCAAAGCTTTATTCCCGAGGGGCTCAGTCCTTGTTGGCAGCTGCCTTCCTCATGGCGGCCAGCATGTTGCTCAGCTCCTCATGCTTCCTCTTGGTGCGGATGTGCATCCCCACCCTTTCCTTGGTGAACTTGGGGGTGCGCTTGTCCTTGGAGACCTTGAGCAGCTCCTTGGCGCACCGCTCATCGGGAGCGAAGCTGCACACCTCCCGGATCATGTCCCACATGAACTTGGTGTTTGGTGAGGCGTCCACGATGCCTGGTTTGCTCACATTCTTGGTCAACTTGTAGCCCTTGTTGAGGCCCACAGCCATGGGATAGCGGAGGGCCATGGCTACTCTTCAATGGTTGTTGTGGCGGAAGGCTGTTTCCTTAAGCTTTTCAGAAAGATATTTATATCTACATATATACCTATCTATGTCTGTCTGTCTGTCTGTTAGTCTGTCTGTCTACTTATCTATACATTCTTTGAAATCAGTGTCCCTAGTTAACAGAGAAGACCATACATTCCCTACAGCATTTCTCTGGAGCAGTCAGTTTTCATTTAAAAAGTGAATTTTGAGTTCTAAAAGTTAATAGGGGGCTGGGAGTGTCGCTCGGCAGAACAGCTGGACTGGCCCGCAGGGTGAGAAAGAAAGGTCCATCAGGCAGGGAGTCTTAGACTACCACCACCCTCATGAATCTCAAACCTGCTGCTGCTGTCATGTAGGAACAAAATTTGTCAAGGCTAAGTATTCATCCAGGGCCAGAAGACAAAGGTGACTCGGGGTGCAGAAAGGCACTAACCATTTAAATGGGTCCAGTGAACCAGTTCCATTCTTTATCCCAACCAGGGTCTTCTGTGGCTTTGCAGAGGGTGTGGCTGTCACTCTGTTCCTGTGCTACCTAAATTCAGTACAAAGAGGAATTCATACTAAGCGGGTTCTTATTACCCCAACTGCTTTTTTTCTTAAAGATTTCACAATGATGTCAAAGTGCAGAAATCATTCTTAGAGTGCCATAGAGGACACTGAAGAGAGAACTGTCGACACTGGATTATTTATTTATTTATTTATTTATTTTTGTTCCTCGCATGCCTTCAGGGCACTTTTGGCCAGCGGGAGAGTTGTGAGGTTCGAACTCCAGCAACCTGAGGCTGACAGCTTTGTGGAAGCAGCCACTTAAAGGACTGAGCTAAGGCCAGGCCCCCTGGATTATTTAAAGATGATTTAAAGCATAATTTACACCTCTCTGCGTGTCTCTTTCTCTTTCTCTGTCTCTGTCCTTTGTGGTAATGGGGGTTGAACCCAGGAGAGCTTTACCAGTGAACTAAGCTATATCTCTAGTCCTCTATTCCCCCCTTTTTTTTTTTTAATTGTTTTTATTTTTAAGCAGGGTGTCAGTAAGTTGCTCAGCCTGACCTTGAACTTGTGATCCTCCTACCTCAGCCTCCTGAGTAGCTGGATTACAGGTGTGTATCATTGTACCCAGCTGAATTTTTGTGTTTTAAGGAACCTTTCTGGAAAACTTAAAAATTTCAGATGTGAAAACGTTTTAAATTTAAACTATTTTAATTTTTTTATAAGTAAAAATTTAAAATACATAAAGTAAAAAGAAAGCACAGCTATATCTATGTTTAATTGCATCTATATAATTGGAAATGTTTCTTTATATTTTTGAGAATGTCATTTTTCCTTTGAATCCTTTCTATACCTTATTAAGCTGCCTCAAATATATTCCTTAAGCATTAAAAATAAAGAAACAATCTCGGTGTAAGTGCAATATCACTTTTATGATGAGCTACTGGCATTAAGTTTTAATTGAGCCGCTAGTGGCCAGAATTTTTTTTTTTAAAGCGATCAGTAGACTAGAAACAGTAGGACGACGGTCTCGTGAAGTAGGAGGCCGCAGATTCTGTCGGCGCCCGCCCTCCTGCTTTTTCTCCAGCCGCCGTTTCCACAGCCTTTCGCGCTCTGCCGACAGGGGAAGCCCCGCCCAGGCGTATCTGATTGGCTCCTTTGAAAGTCTACGGATTCCCCGATTGGTGGCTCCGAGCTCCTTTAGCGCGGTGAGTTTGAAACTGCTTGAACTTGACTTCCGAGCCGACGCCGGGGGTCCTGTGAGGAGAGACCCAGGCGAGGTACCTGCCGCCTCGGCCGCCGCGGGGCGACTCCCGGGTACGGGTGGGCTCGGGGCCGTCGTGTGGGGTCCGCTCGGCGAGCGCCGAGGAGCGGGTGGCCGGGGGCGCGGGGGCTGCCGGCTTGGGTGGGCGGCG